GGTGTAACTTCAATAAAAAACTACAAGAAAAGGTTCTGACTTTCTACTCTTCCCTGAGTCTGTGATGTTTTAAGTGGGTTTCGACAAAACACTGACCCCCGGTCAACTGACCCCCCTACTGACCCCCTACAAAATCAATGGGAAAATGAATACTGCTTACTTAAGCCTCAACATCCCTTTTTAAACAGCATTGTTCAACAGTATTTAAGTCGAAGCACCCATTTTAAAAAGGTTAGTTTTCGATTATTGTTGTGATGGCCGATTACTTCATGTAAGCTAACCTTTTTAAAATGGGTGCTTAGACTTAAATATTGCTGAACAATGCTGTTTAAAAAGGGTTTTTGAGACTTAAGTCAGCAGTATTCATTTTCCCATTGATTTTATAGGGGGTCAGTAGGGGGGTCAGTTGACCGGGGGTCAGTGTTTTGTCGAAACCCGTTTTAAGTAACCTATCATGCCCATTTAAAGAGATGAATAGCCCCTTGCACCATATTTTAATGCTTTAGCAAGGTTACTCTTGAAAGAGACGTAGTCAGTATGCGATGACTGAAGAACAAGCCTGTGAAAACAAGCTTTACTTTCAGGCAGGCTTGTTACTTCCCGTGTGTCATCCAGCTGTAGCCAAAGTTGCTGTCCATATGGTGGCAAAACCTCCCATCCTGTCCAAAACGACAGTAGATCACGCAGACCAGAACCAGCTGCAATGAGAAAACATAACAAAGGCATCACTATAAAGCATCTGAACATGAAATTCCTCCTAGGCAACAATATTCGTAATGGCAAATATAACTTTTCAATGCTTTCACTTTTACATGCTCGGAATGTTTACTTTTCTTTAGCAGTAAAGACACGAGGTGGCTAATCACTGTTACCCTACAACTGAAATTACATCGAGCAATGAAAATCCTGCTAGTGGAATTATCTATCCCCCATACAGTGTTTGAGGAATGAAATGCTCAAGGATAAATGGCTTAAATTCACTGGGGAAAGAAGAGGTACTGGAAGAAGAATAGAAAACGTATAGTAGACATAGCTGAGGTAATCACTTACCTTCTGCTTCTCTGCTAACTTCATCGATGAAGCGATGCAAGAATCCCATGATAACTTGCCCTTGGGGGTTGTTTTCATCCTCGATGGAAATCCTACCCTTGAGTTCTTCTTTGTCAATTACTGACTCGCATTCCCTGGGAAACACGGCTGCGGCCATTTCCTTGTGTGCCTTTAGGTAATTGACAAGGGAAAGCTCATTCATTCCTGCAGCAAGATCTTTCAGTTCACGGTGGCGCTTTTTGATCACATTGTGCAGCATTATCTGCAGGAGAACCAAGTGCCGTTTCTCTCCCCTTAGCGGCACTTGAAGTACTGACGCTTCATCACGATAAGGCAAGAGGAATTCTTTAAGTGCATCTGAGGGTTCTTCATCCTTATCAAGACTTGATAACTGCAAAACCGTTAAATTGCTATGGTGTTGTGACTGAACAATGAAATGCTTCTTACGACAAATTATAAACTTATAGTGTCATTATAGATGTATATACCTATTTGGAACACACTTGTGCTTTTTTTTTCAAATATAAACAGGACAGTACAAGTGCCATATCAAACAAAAATTAACCAGAATAAATATTGTTAGTAACACTAACATGTTGCTGAAACATTACACAGAAATACGTAAGTAATGTCTGTACAAAACAAGATCATCAATGCGAGTACCTGCTTCAAGGCTTGTCGAAGGTCATAATCTGGGATGTCCTCCATGGTAACAGCTTCACTGATGCTTTCACGAGTCCAAAATTCAAGCACTGCTGGGGAAAGTCCATAAAGTGGTGGTCCTCCATGCAAGAAAGAATGTGCAATCATCCGTCCAACACTAGTGTACAGTCCAGAATTACACAGTAACGCATTTGGGACTGGAATTTTGTGGTCAGTCTGGCCCTCAAATAACATAGTCAGCCGCCCAGGATCATCCACGTAAAGACCATTTTGAACAAATGCCATTAATATGCTAAAGAACTCTCTGACAGGTCCCTCGCCAACTGCTCTTTCATTTTCAAATTGCACTCGAAGGTTTGAGCGAAAACATGGGTTGGCTTTCTTATAAATGGATAAAACATCTGCAGTGAACTCCTCCGTCATCCGATTTACATAGATTCTCAGTGGTGGGCCATTTTCATCCAGAGTTTCTTGTTTGTACTGTGCAACAGGGTCAGTACAGGTACTGACAGTACTTGAGGATACATGTGCTTCAAATGGTGATTGCATGAGGTCACTGTCTTCTTCTGTACAGTATTCATTACCTGAGTCCCCACTGTTCATTAGGGCACCTTGCAGAAGAAATTGCAAAAAAGGGGAGTTCAGTAAATTATCTGTTATGAGACTCTGTAAAGCTTAGGTCATGTTATAAGTATGCACCTCTAAATCGAATGAAGGGCTCTTATTTCAAATGAAATGAAATAACAATTTCAAAACCAAATGAAAGAACAGATAAGTATAACTGTCT